TACAGAAAAAAAAAGAATCATTTTCGCTTTTATAAATTATGAAACTGTGAGAGAGCTTATGGTCAATTCTACCTTTATGAACAAAAATTGTAATGAAAAGCTATATTAGAAACGCATCAAAAGACTTCTTAGGATTTCAGAAGTCTTTCTTAAAACTTCTATATCACTAAGATGATTAGGTCTTGATTTTTTATTGAATGTCTTTTTTCTCTATCGTAATTAGAAATATTGATGAATGGTTAATATCTTTTGAACAATGTACTAATCGTCTTTTAACTAAAACAAAATCTCAAATTGATTTATATAATTTAATAAATCATTTATTCAAATATTTTACTATATTTACTACGAATTCAATAAATCTGTTAAAAACTCTTATACAATTTTTTGTATGTCAACAATCAATTGATCAAAAACATTTATCAAAATTATTTGCAAATATTCTTAAACATAAAAATTTTCTTGAACAACTTTCATCATTATCAAATTGTTCAATGTTAGTTGATATACTTTGTTTATTTGTTTCAAATTATGATTCAAATCAATCATCAATAATAATTGATTGTTCAAAACATTTTCCTATGTTATTATCAATATATAATCCAACATTATCTAAAAATAATCAACATACATTAGCTTGTATGTATACATATGAAAAATATGGTTATTCAATGAAATCAGCTTTTATTTGGGGTGAAGCAGCATTAAAATTATATAGTACAACAACAGATACAAAAAATATTTTATTACAAACATCAAAATTAGAACAAATAATGAATTTATTAGATGATAAAATGATGATTAAATCGATTTTATTTTATCCAGTTAAAAGAAGATTACGAGTTAGTTTTGAATTATTTTTTTATTCTAATTCAAAAATTAAATTCTTTTAGATAATTGAACCACAAATATATGAAGAAGGTGATCAAATTTATGATCCAGTTTATTTAATACCTGTCTTTTATCATTCACTTGGTCCAGGTAAAATGATCAAAAAAATTTGATTATAAACTTTATAAATTTAATTAGAAGAGAAAAGTGATATCAATTACATTAATTGACATTACATTTCATTGATAGTTAGGAATACTATCGGATAGTATTCATGAGAAAGTTGAAAACTTTATTGAAATCAAAGATTCACATTTCCTTTTAATTCATAACTACAAAAATCAATGCTTTTTTTTTCCTGAACCTCTATCGAATTTTTACTATGCTTTTAGACAAAGTTTTATTTTCTTATTCTCTAATTAGATTTTTAATTA